TCACCGCAGGTTCAGTTACTGGTGGGGAGAGGCTAAACCACAAAGGGCTCATCCTGTAGGCCCCACCCCTTCTGCCACTGTCTCCTCCCACCTTCGGACTGTGGCCCCTGGCAGGCTTTCCAGCTGAAAGAGGCTCCTCGTTGCCGGCAGAGGCCCACGCATCGATGGCTTGGACCCGGAAAACGGCTGCTCCACACGGCACAGGCATTCCTGCCCTGCAAGGCGCAGCAGCAGCAGCTTTGCTGGGTGCTCAGCTGAACAAAAGGTTGAAATTTTTTATTTAAATAAAAACATCCTACAAAAGGGCACGTGCTCGTGGCCCATCCCCAAATTAGCAAAGCCGGTGCAGGGATCCCGTAGATTTGTGAGTGGCCGGAAGGCGAGATGAGAGGGGAGCAGCAGAGAGGAGAAGGGGTTGGAGTGAAAGGGGATAAGGAGACTCGAACAGGTGGCTGGCACGCCACAGAGGGGAGACGAAGCCTTTGTTCAGGCCGGCTGCTATTGTCCTTGCCACATGTAGAATTTATAGCCTGGCCAGCATCCCAAGACGACACTGGAGCTGGGTTCGCAGGGGAGCTTCTAAACGTCAGAAGCTCCTCTGCAAATCTGCCCCAATATCTGTGGCTCCTTTAAGCTGCAGGAATTTACCAGAATGGATATCCAAGCCTCAGGCACACAGGTCATCCTCAGACCAGAGCATAAAACCTGAAGCATGATTTATGTCGTTCATTGAGGGACTACAAGTCAGTGCTCTTGGCCAGAGGCAGTCAGCGAAGGAAGAGCTCATTCCCTTGTCTGAAAACAGAAGAAAGCACCTCAGTGAAAGCTGAAGCACAGGCACAGTCGGTGTGATGATAATTCTCAGTGCAGTGGTAGAGCCGCACTTTCTGTATCTCGTGGCTTTTTGACCCCCAGTTTGGCTCTGAGACTCCACTGCAAAGCAGCCCACCTTAAGGGGAGCCCAGAAAAGAAGCAGGATGTAGTGCCGCTTCACTCCGAGCCGAAATCAGCACATGGCATATATTGCGTTCATTAGCGTCCGGGTCTGAAAGTTCAAGTCTAGGTAAATCAGCCCTAAATTGCCGCATGAATGAACGAAGGACACTTGCAGATGCTGTTCCACAGTAATAGAAAATGATCGTTGAAAGACGAGACACTGTGGGCTCATTTATTTTAAAATCCAATCACTAACAAAGTTATAAAAACATTTACAAGGGAAGAACACACCAGTTAAATGGCGAACGCTTTCCAGATGCTCTGAATGCATCCTAAATCACACCAGCCCCTGGGCAAGAGCAAGATGCAATTCGGACCTGGGAGGCAGCTGATGTCCATGCAAAGCTTCAGCAGGACATGGGGCTGAAATCCGAGTCGAGCCCAGATGCAAATCCTGGAAAGCAGGGAGAAATTCCCATTTCTCTGCAAGACTAGCATGCCCCACAGTTTGCTCAAACCGTTCTGCAGCTTTCTACATCTAGGGACCAATCTAGATATGGCAACTGTAAGTCCTGCTGTTCCCAGTCAATATAGGCTGAGGACAATGGGAATGGTAAGCCAACGTAAGTGCCATATCCCACGTTGGGGAAGGCAGAAACCTGATTATTCACCGGGCCAGCGTCTTCCCATGGAACAAGGCAGGAGAGGCAAATCCCCAAACTGAAGTAAATGTATCATAGTCGAGTTGGAAGGGGCCATGAAGGTCGTGGGGTCCACCCCCTTTCTGTTGCATGACACAAGTCAGACCATCCCACTCAAGATGGCCATCCAGTTTCTTCTTGAAAAAAAAACCCTCATTTTTTTGACTGGGTACCTCTAGGCAGCTGGTTCCACTATTGTATTGCTCTGACAGTGAGGAAGCTTTTCCTGATGTCCAGCCTGAATCTGGGGTGTCGCAACTTGAACTGATTATTCTGTGTCCTACACTCTGGTATCCGCAAGAAGAGATCTTGACCTTCTTCTTTGTGATGGCCTTTGAGGTCCTTCTAGAGGGATACCATGCCCCCCTCAGTCTTCTCTTCTCAAGGCTGAACATGCCCAGTTCCCTCAGTCTTTCCTCACAGGGCAGTGCTTCCAAACCCTGGATCATTTTGGTTGCCCTCTGCTGGACCCTAATTTTTCTGCATCTTTCTTAAATCTTGATGCCCAGACCTGGACACAGTATTCCAGATGAGGTCAGACTAGTGAGGGGTATAGGGGAACTACTACTTCTCGTGATTTGGAAGTAATACCTCCATTACTGCATCTCAAAATAGCATTGCCCTTTTGGCAGCTGCATCACATTGTTGGCTCATGTTTAGCCTCTTGTCCACAATTACTCCAAGATCTTTTTCTTGTTCCGTTCTGTTGAGCCACATATTCCCCATCTTGTATCAATGCCTTTGGTTTCTTCTTCCTCGGTGAGGACTTGGCTCTTGTCCTTATCGAATCTCATTCTGTTGCTTTCAGCCCAGTGTTCAAGTTTATGATGATTGCTCTGGATCTTCATTCTGTCTTTGAGGGTGTTTGCTCTTCCATCCAGTTTTGTATTGTCTGCAGATCTGATTATCTTTCCTTGTACTTCCTCATCTAAATCATCAATAAAGATGTTGAAGAGCACTGGGCCCAGGACTGAACCCTGTGGCACCCACTAGTTACCTCCCTCCAGTTTGAGAAGGTGCCATTGATGGGCACTCTTTAGCAGTGTCCAATTTAGCAGCCAATTTTGGATCCACCTAATAGTTTTTCCATCTTGTCCAATTTTTGCTAATTTGCTTATCAGAATGTCATGTAGCACTATGTCAAAAATGTTGCTAAAACTTAGGTAGATTATGTCCACAGTGTTCCCTCTGTCCATTTGGGAGGTTACCCAGTCAAAAAAAATGAGATTAAATTAGTCTGGCAGAATTTATTTTTGATAAATCCATGTTGGCTTCTATTGATCGCTGCATTTTCTTCAAGATGCTTGGACATGGATTTTTTAATAATTTGCTCCCAAATTTTTCTAGGGATTGATGTCAGACTAATTGGTCAGTTCTTCCCAGATTCATCTTTCCCCCCTTTTTGAAGATAGGGACAACATCAGCCCTTCTCCAGTCATCTGGCACTTCTCCTGTTTTCCAAGATTTATTGAAGATAATAGTCAGTGGTTTTGAGTGTTCCTTTCAGAAAGAGTGGCTATTGACACAGTGGGGGAGCAGGTGTAACTTCAGTGTAAGATAGGATTTAGCTTTTCCAAAATAAAATTATAGATAGTGCGACAGAAGTGAAGATGTCCTGGATTTCATACGCTCAACCTTTTCTTTACTTAGTTCTGCCATGCTAAGAATAGCACACCTAATCCCAAACATTAGCAGATTAAAACTTGTAAGGGTGGTGGCTTGAACCTTTCTTTCTGAGAGGGATGATGGGAGTCGAGAGCTTGGCGGCCTGCCGAAATGCTCCGCGGCTGTGGCAGAGGCTGGCCCAGCGCTACATTTCCCCACGGAGAAACAGCAAGGTCTTCTGCAGCCCGTCCTAGCCGAGGCCATTTCCTGAGGCCCGAGCGGGCGCCAGCTGGAGCCCAGTTCCACCAGTGCGGGCGGCCCAGTCCTGGCCCGGGGGGCGGGGGGGAAGAAGGGGAAGCGGAACCCGAGAGCGCGAGCTGTGAATCTGGGGGGACGCGAATCTGGGATGGCACAGAAGCAGGACCCCCTCCTCGCAGCCTCCGAGGCGACGAGCTCGGCCTACCGGCACGCGAAGGCCGCAGCGCCCGCCCCGCCACCCGCCGCAGGGTCTCCCCGAAGCACCCCGGACGGTGTTTCGGCGCCCGGGCTGCCACCGCCATTCCCCCTGGAAGCACCAGCGGGAACGGGACGCAGCGCGGCTGCCGGAACCGCGGCGGAAGCCGCCGGCGCCGGCCCCGGCCCGCTCCTCCAGCCCCGCGCGCCCTCTGCCGGAGCAGGCCGGGACTGCAGGAGGGGAGGCCGGAGAAGCGCCGCGCCCGCCGGATCGCGCCCGGCCCCTCTCGGAGGCGGCCCGGGTGAGGAGACGCGCTGGCTGGGCCTCCGCGGGCAGCGCTGCCCGTCTCTGCCACAAGGCGCGCCCCGCAGCACCGGCCGGGCGTGAACGGCGGGCGCCTCGCGGCCTGCAGGGCCGAGGCGGCGGCGAAGGCGCTCGGCGGAGTGCGCCCAGCCACGTCTCTCCCCGGCCGAGGACCGGCCCTGGCGGCCCGGAGCAGCAGCAGCAGCAGCACGGCCCTGCTGAAGGAGCCGCTGCTGGACCTGGAAGGCCCCGGCCATTGTTACTTCTTGCTTTTCGAAGGTGCGAGCCACCTTCCAGCCACAGATCCCAGGGGGGCGTGCGCACAACATCAAAAGCCGATCCGGCGTAAAAATCACACAATGGCACACCGCAAAAGCAATGCAGCAAGAGGAACTCTTCGGCAACATGTAACGAAAACAATCAATGTAGGCCAAAGGCAACTTACAGTGCGCACTTATAGCTATCTCAGATGCTCAAATGCCTGGGCAAACGGAAGCCTACTTCGGTGCCAAAGAGAAAACAACAGTCAGCGTCGACCGCGGCTCCTTCGGGAGGGCATCCCTGGGAGGGCGCCGCCGCAGAGAAGGCCCCGGCCCCCGCCGCCGCCGCAGCAGCAGCAACAGCGGGCGCCCCCCACCGACTGCTCAAAGGAAGCGCCCGCTCCCAGGAGCGCGCAGGGCCGCCGGCGGGGGAGGCGGCGGGCGGGCCGCGCGCCTTCCCGGGGCGACCACCTGCCCAGGGCGCCGCCCGCAGCGAGTCCGCCCGCGCCCCGCCGGCGTCGCCCGGGCTCTTGCGCCCACCCCGTCCGGGCTCCTGCGAGCGGGGCGGAGTCCCCAGCCGCCGGCATCGCCCGCTCCCGGCCGGCCAGGAGGAGCGAATCGGGGCGCTGCGGCCCGTGGGCCCCCGCCGGCTGCCCGAGCCCGCCGGCCGCGAGCAAACGGGGCTGCCGCGCCCGCGCCGGGAGCGCGCTCGGGCGAGCAGCCGGGCGAAGCGCCCTCGGAGGGTTCTGGGAAGCGTAGTTTCAGCCCGTGCGCGGCCGAACTACAGCTCCCAGGGCCGCGGAAAGCGAGCAGGAGGGAAGTGGGGCGCGCAGGCTTCCTGGGGAAGGGAAGGCGAGGCGAGACGGGGCCCCCGGCTGGACTCGGCGCCGCAGCGTCCGGGTGCCTTCTCCCTGCGCCGCTCGGCCGGCTGCACCGCGCTGCACGCGAAGGGCGCCGAGGGCGAGCGCGCCGGCAGACGCCGAGACATGAACGTGGTGCTGGCTGTCAAGCAGTACATCTCCAAGATGATCGAGGACACCGGGGCTGGCATGAAAGTCCTGCTGATGGACAAAGAGACGGTGAGCCCCCTGAAGAGGCGCGCGGCCGCCCCCCGGCCCGGGGCCCCCGCTTTCGGCCGCAGCGGGCGGCCAGCATCGCCGAGCGGCGCCCCCGAGCCCAGAGACCGGCCGCCGCCAGGCGCTCGGGCCCGGGCCCCCGGGCGCCCCGCGGGTGCCTCGCCCCTTCCCCGGAGAGCGGCGCGGGGGGGGGGCGTCAGCCTGGGATCTGCGGGGCCCCCGTGGGAGCGCGGCGCCGCGTTCCGCGCAGCTGGGGCGAAGGGCGCTCTCGGGTGCCCCGCGCTCAGGGCCGGCGCTGTCGGGGAAGGGAGACCCTCCGAAAGCTGGCCGCTTTCTCTGCCGGCTGCTTCCTTTTTGTAACCGTCCGACACCGCCCCACCCCGCCTCCCCACACAGCTGTGCTTGGTAAAGGGAAATTGGTAGCGTAAATGCACTCTGTGCATGCTCAGGGGCTGTCTTATCTGTGCTACTTGTTTACTGTAGGTGCTGTCAGCATACCATGGGCATGTAAATCATGGTGGCAGCACCCTTAACTTCCAGATGTCTGGGGACAAGCTGCAGTTTCTCTACAGAGAGATGTGCACTCTGTCCATGCTCAAAAGTACTGCCTCAGTTATTGGCTCACGCATCCCAGAGCTGTTCCTTGGCTCGGTAGACATGTTCCGTGGCAGGGACTTCATGCAAATAATAGCGTGGTATCAACTCGCAGTGTTTGCAGAATCCCAAGAGGGAGGATGGAACATCACCTGAGCTGAGCTGGGGTGTGTTGTGCTTTAGTCCAGACGTTTTAAGCTGCAGCTCAATCAGCCAGTGGTGAGGGATGATGGGAGTGGTGGGCCAGAACACCTGGGGTGCTGGGCCAGTTGCCCACCTGCGCACTCGGTGGAAATGGCAGAGCCCTCCCTGCCTTAACCGCGCGTCCCCCTGCGAGCGTCACCTGAGCGGGCCGTGCTCTGCCTCTCCCCCCGCAGACCGGCATCGTGAGCATGGTGTACTCACAGTCTGAGATCCTGCAGAAGGAGGTCTACCTCTTCGAGCGCATCGACTCGACCAGCCGGGAGACCATGAAGCACCTGAAGGCCATCTGCTTCCTGCGGCCCACCAAGGCGAGTCGCACTGCCCAGCCTCCCCGGAGCTGGGGCCCTCCGGACGCGTCACCCACCGAAGGGGATGCCCCCAGACGATCCTCCCATGCAAACGGGCCCCCTGCCTGAGGTTAAGCCCTGGGCCGCAGGGGAGCCCTCCCCGTGGCCCCCCATGCGGGTGCTCTGCCCCCAGGTGGGCATGGCGAGAACTTTCTGCTCTCCTGTGTTTGGCGACCCCAAAGGCCAAACCGGAGGCATTTAGTGTCCCTCTCGGTGTCTTGCTTGTGTGCTCAACTGATAGCTGCGTCTTTGTTACTGATGTTGATCGCAGCTATTTTTGTTATTTGTTAGCTTTCCTGACGCTGATGTGAAGGGAGGGGGATCCAAGTTGTGAAGTGTGTGAAGAGTGCAGCGGGGAGCCGGCGAGGGTGCTGGGGGCCTCCTGTGGGCAGCCTTGCCTGGCCAGCCTTGCTCCGTCAGGCCCAGTGCGGTTGGCCAGGGCTCCAGGCAGGCCCTCCCAGGGCCTTCTGCGCATACGGCCGGTGCTCTCCCTAAAAACAGAAACTCTAGTCCTCATGTTTCTGAATAGAGGGGGGCTTCCTCAGGTCTGGGCTGGGGACCTGCCAGGTGCAGGCTGCAGGCTCCGCTTGGCCATGCAGACCACTGGGAGACTTTGGGCCACTGGCTTACTCTCAGGCTAGCCTACCTCACAGGGTTGCTGTGGGTGGCGAGGATAAAATGGAGTGAGGAGTAAAATGGAGTGTATGGAGTGACCATACACACCCCTTGGGTTGCTCACCAGAAAAGGTGGGGCATAAATGCAACATCATCATCATCATCATCATCATCATTATAACATTTCTATGCCGCCCCTTGCCGAAGCCTCGGGGCGGCTTACAACACAATAAAATACATTGAAATACAATAGAACATAATAAATTACCACTAAATACAAAAATACAAAAAATACACTGAGATACAAACATAATAATATAAAATTAAAATTAACAGTATAAAATAAGTAAATAAAGAATATAGGAGGAGAAAAGAGAAGGAAGAAGAAGTTGCCCTGGCCAGATCAGATCAGATCATATCAGATCATAATAAGGTAGCAGTAGTAATAATTGCAGTAGGTTCCCCGTGGAAGTTCCTAATTCTGATTCCTTGGCTGCCAAATCGCCGTAGTGCTATCTCCCCACAACCCCTGCCTCATAAGTGACCCTAAAGGCCCTGGTCCAAAGGCATCTTTGCTTTTCCTGTCTGGTCTGGGGCTCAGTTTGTGATCTGAACATGGTTTCTTCACTTGTCTAGGAAAACGTGGAATACCTCATTCAAGAGCTGCGGAGGCCTAAATACAGCACCTACTTTATTTGTAAGTATGTTTGGTCTTCCCACGCCTTTGTGCCCCCGTGTTTGCGGTGAGCTCGTGGCATGTGTGTTTTTCCTCTCTCACGTTCCTCAGTGCACGTCTGCTTCAGTTTTTTCTATTGATTATGAGGATGACTGTCGGGATTCCCCAACATGCTGGCTGGGGATGATGAAAGGTGTAGTACAGCACATCTGGAGGACTCTGGACTGAGAATTGGAGATTCTGTGTCATCCTCTGGCCAGCGCAGATCGAAGTCTGCAGAGGTATCACATGCTCCAAGCAGAAAATAAATTTTGGTTCCAGATTGAGAGAAGAGTAGATTAACTGACTCACCAAAGGCAAAGAGGCTTGTTTGGAACTGTTGTTGTTTTGCTTCGCAGTGAAGTGTCTTGACTAATATTGTGGGAAAAACATGCTCAGTAATAAACTGCTCTTGCTTTTAAAGACAAAATTATTTTTAAGGTAAATTAAAACTAGTCTCATTACTTTCATGGACATTGCGTGCCACCACTATTTTAGATTTCTGCTACTTTCGGAGGCCATTTGGAAGTAAGCTAGCTTGACTGCGGGGTTTTGTGTCCTTGATGTTCCAGCTTCCTGTTGCCTGTTCCAGTCTGTGCCTTCCCACCCCTGCAGTCCTGAAATGTAATGCTTTCTTGTTTTTCATGGTATTTCCAACTGGCTTTGGTTAGCCGCTTCAACTCTCCCTCTGAGCATAAGGCAGGACACGCATCTCTCGGTGACTAAATATTTGAAGATTATTACTGGGAAGCATCAGCGGGCAGCCCTCGGCTCCATGGGGACGAGGCGAGTCCATGCTGTCCGCCCTCTAGGTGTCATGCGCAGCCTAAGCCAGTGCGCCAGCAGAGGAGGATGCTGCTTGTTTGAGATGTGCCGCCGGCTCAGCCGGCTGCCCCTGTGCAGCGAGCGGAAATCGCTCTTTGCAAGGAGAAAGACCTGTTGGCTGATGGGGCCCGGACCTTCTCTGCACTGGGAAGGCTGCAGCAGTAGGGAGGGGCAGGATCAAGCGTGGGCCCACTTGTGGAGTTGGCCCGTTCACCCAGCATAGCTCCTGTTCGCGTCTCTGGATGGCAGAGAGCTGTTCCCATCCCCTGCAGTCCAGCACCCCATTTTTCCTGAAGTCCCCCTGAGGAGCCATTCCAGGGTCATGTGTCCTATTGCAGAGGTAGTTCAGCAGAGCTTCCAAAACTCAGTTTTCCTGAGCATGGTCAGCATTCTCTGAAGCCTCTATATCATAAGTGCTAGAAACTTGATTTTTGCTTTTTGTTTTAAGAAAGACTATGATTGCTAACAGTATGAAGATGCTGCAGGGGGCACAACAGATTCTTCCCCCATTGCCTTTACATTGACAAAGATGTTATTATCTTAAATGTTATTAAAACGTTTATTTGTCTGTATGGAGTGGCCTTGCTCTCATTCTAATTTCCCAACTTTATTTTAAAATGGGAAACCCTCAGTTTGGCCCAAAGTGTCACAAAGCACCGGACCAGCCCCTCCTTGCTCCCTGCCCCCCGGGCAGCCCCCGTCTTGCCTCCAGGTGCAGTTCTTGGCATCACTGTCGCTCTTTTCTGAACTGCAAAGCCAGAAGGTCCCCTCGTTGCGCTGCGCACCTGAGCGCCTCATCCTTGGCTTCCTTTTAGATTTTAGCAACGTGATCAGCAAGAGCGACGTCAAGTCACTGGCAGAAGCGGACGAGCAGGAAGTGGTCGCCGAAGTTCAGGTAGGTTTGCCCCGAAGAACCGCTCTGGTGGCCTTCTGGAAGAGAAGCTGCGTGCCTGCTGCCCCAGCAGCCCACTTTGGGACCTGGCAGCACCGTTCCGAAGCGGCCACCGCCTCTGTGGGTGCATCTCGCCCCTTCCGGAGCTGCCTGCGCGGGCGCCCCTCCATCGCAGGATGGAGGGCGAGCCCCGTCGTCTGGTGGGGCCAGGGGAAGAGCGCTTGCGTCCCTCTGCCCTGGGCCTCCCCTCCGCTTTCCTGCCCTGCCTCAGGCCTGCGGTGTTCGGCAAGAGGGAGCGAAGGTTCTCAGCTCTGCCGTGCCTGTGCCCCACCCTTGATGACCGGTCGGGGCAACTCCGTGTCCCTGGCAAGCCTTGGGGTCTTTCGGGTGTCCAGGCCGCTGCTTGCGCATGCTCCGCGCCACCCTGCTTCCAGTGGCGGTGCCCCAGCAGGGCGGTGGTGTGGGCTGGCCGCTGCCCTCGCCACCCCAGCCCGGGAGTCGCAGCGCCGCGCCAGGACTGCAGCTCTCTGCAAGCCCCCCGGCTCCCCCCGTTCCCCAGATGACGGGCGCCACGCTGCTTGCGGGGACGAACCGTGGCAACCGAGGGGTGGCGTTTCCACCTTTTACTGGTGCACCAGTTGGCCCCTGGCTGCCTTTGTCCCCGAGGCCGGTCCGGGGCCTGCCAGGACAGATGGCTGTGCGAGCCTTGGTGTGACGCTGGGCCCCGTTTCGCCTCTCTTTGGCAGGAATTCTATGGGGACTACATCGCTGCGAATCCACATGTGTTTTCTTTCAACATCCCAGTCTGCTGCCAGGTGCGCATTTTGCCGAACCCGATACCTTCATCGCCTCTTCCTCCATGGGCACAGCGGGCAGCCTCCCGTGGCCTGCTGGGCGGAAGGATCGAGGGCTTGGCTGGAGGCTGGAGCTGCGGAGGACCCCCGCCCCCGGAGCCTCTGCAAGCGGGGAGGACGGGGGCCTCCTGCCCGCAGCAGCTTCCTGCTGCCTTTGCCCCTTGGGTCGCTGCAGCCTCGTGGAAATTGCCCCAAGCATTCCTGGGCATTCCTTTTTCTAGGGCCGCAGCTGGGACCCTGCGCAGCTCTCCCGGACCACCCAGGGGCTGACCGCCTTGCTCCTGTCCTTGAAGAAGTGCCCCATGATCCGCTACCAGCTTTCCTCGGACTTGGCCAAGCGGCTCGCAGAATGCATCAAGGTGCGAAGCTGCCCTCTGGGCTCGAACGGCCTCCTCAGCCACAGAATTCCCAGAAAAGCATCTGGCACCCGTGCGGCCCTGTTCTCAGTCAGGAGGGGTGAATCTGAAACTGTGACCCCCATCGACCCCAGCAAACCTGATTGGGGATTATGGGTAGCATAGTCCTGCATGGGTTCTCCTTCCCCCTAGTGCAAAACCTGTTTCTCAAGAAGATCCATGTACATTTTCTGAATGTGGCAAACGCCACCCCTGCAAGGTAGCTCCGAATTCCTTTCTCCCCTCTCCACACGTGTGCTACAGAACCAGGCGGTGCGGAATTAATGCATGAAATGCAGGGGAAGGGCTGCCTCCTTGGGAGGCTGGCGAGGGGGATCAGGCCCTCTGGGGGCTGAGGGCAGCGAGAGGGCCAGAACAAGGGGCACGGCTGCTTCCCTGCCTTCCTTTGGGAACTGAGCCAGCAGGACTCGCCCGATAGCCCCAAAAGCCACGATGCTCGAGAACAGAGCCACTCCATCTTCCAGAAAGCGGCAGGGAAGGTTCCCTGTGCCCAGTTAGTGGGGTTCCTGGAAGCGTCTGGACTGGGTGACCCTTGGGTCGGATCCAGCACAGGGTTGCCCTTCGAGCAGGGCTGGCTGGGGCAGGGCAGGGCAGGGCAGAAGAAAGCCAGAGGTGCAGGTGGCGCTTCCCGCTCTTCCTTTTTCCCGGCCAACAGCAAGTGATCACCAAGGAGTATGAGCTGTTCGACTTCCGGAGGACCGAAGTCCCGCCACTGCTGCTGCTGCTGGACCGCTCTGATGACGCCATCACGCCGCTCCTGAACCAGGTGGGCCTCTCCTGCCTGGGCTGCTCCCCGAAGGGCTGGGCAGGGCCTTGGGCGATTCCGGGCCGCAGCTCTCGCTGCCTGAACCGTTGGCCCTGCTGGCTGGGAGGGGTGCAAACAGCCGTCCAAAACAATGGAGTGCCCTTCCTCTGCCGGGCTGTCCGGGCCCCTCTGCTGAACTTCAGTGTGCTTAATCTGGGGCTGCTGTGGGCTTCCTTTGGCGTGTTCCGTCTTGCTTCTGGTCTCGAGGTTTGTGTGTTTTGCACTGATACGGCTGGTGTTTGTATCGCTCTTTGTCAGAAGGTGCTGCAGAGCCGTGCTCTAGGAAGGCATTCCAGGGCCACCAGTCCATGAATAAGAGTGCTGCCTTCCGGACTGGGGGCCGCCGATAGTCTTTCCCCCTGACCATGTCCTTCCCCCCCGCACAGTGGACGTACCAGGCCATGGTCCACGAGCTGCTTGGCGTCCATAACAACCGGATTGACCTCTCCCGAGTCCCAGGCATCAGCAAGGACCTCCGGGAGGTGGTTCTGTCGGCCGAGAACGACGAGTTCTACGCCAATGTAAGTGTTCGGACGGCAGCGTGCCGGCGGGGTCTTTCTGGCAGCGGTCCCCGGGTGCCGACTCTGCTGCGGGCTTCTCCTCCTGCCCTTGCCCCTGCAAGCCCACGGCAAAGTTTTTCAGCTGATGTGTCAGCATTGCAGCTGTTCAGCTTCCCGTCAGGATCTCTCGCAGGAGCTCATCCCAGGCTAGGCGGGCTGAGTACCCTCCAGATATTCTGGACAGCAACTGCCACCATGTTGGTTGAGGCCGATGGAAGTTGTAGTTTAAATCATCTGGAGGGTACCCTCTGGTTGGAGCATGTATTAGACCTAGGCTGGGCTGGTGTTTGGTGGCTGGTAGGGGGGAGGCTGGGGAGGAGCAGGGGTGGCTGGTAGCCATGGCAGGGAGGAGAAGGCCCCCCAAGGGAGGGGCCCAGAGGGGGTCTCGACAAGGGCCCTTCAGACTGCCCAGCCACCTACATCAGAGGGTGTTCAAGATTTGGGGGCATTTGGAAATTTGAGCAAGAAGTTGTGAGCACAAAGCTCCCCCCCCCCCCCGACGTGCTGAGAACTGTGGGTCTCAGAATGGCTGCTTTCTTTTCAAACCGCCCTTTTGGCTCCTCCCCAGAACATGTATCTGAACTTTGCGGAAATTGGCAGCAACATCAAAAACCTCATGGAAGACTTCCAGCGGAAGAAACCCAAAGAGCAGCAGAGGCTGGAGTCGATTGCAGACATGAAGGTAATGATGGGGGGCAGGTTCCCAAGTCCACCTTCCCGCCCTGGCTTGGCTGTGCAGCGGGGCTGGGCAGCCCTGGCATTTAGCTGTGCTAGAAGCATCGGGAGGCTGTCGCTCTGTGGTACAGTCCCTGCCGTGCCAGAGAAAGTGCTGTCCTTGCAGACAGGTGTGGACATCTGGCCGGGGCTTGTGCCCCAGGTTCCCCAGGAGGCCTCCGGGCCTCTCTCCCTTTCCGCAGCCAGAGCGTTTGTGGTGTCCTGGGTGGTGCAGCTTCAGTGCTGGCATAAAAGCACAGAGCTAAAGTCAGGCTGAGTGCTGGGACCTCTGGGCCGTGCCCCTTCCTCCTTTGCTCCGAGTGGGTCTCCAAGGGGAATCCAACTGTTGGGCAGGCCTTTGACGTCTCTCCTGTAGCTCAGACTGGACTGGCTGGAGCAGCGGATCTGCCCAGTCCAGAGCGCTTTGCCCTGTTCTGGGCCGCCCTCTTGCTCTTCCTCTGCCCCGCAAGGCGAACATTTCCTGCTCTCTCAGGCCTTTGTGGAGAACTACCCGCAGTTCAAGAAGATGTCTGGCACGGTCTCCAAGCACGTGACGGTCGTGGGCGAGCTTTCGCGGCTGGTGAGCGAGAGGAACCTGCTGGAGGTGTCGGAGGTTGAGCAGGAGCTGGCTTGCCAGAACGACCACTCCAGCGCTCTGCAGGCAGGTGCCCCCCCCCCCGAGTTCCTGCTGGGGAGAAGCGTGGCCGCTGACGTAGCGGCGGCATGGCCGAAATGCAGTTTTACTTCGGTGTCCCAATTCTCACATCGCTGAGTCAGAGGCAGAAGGAAGGGAGGAGTTGCTCTGGGATGGACGGATGGACGGACTTCATCCCGGGGGTTTTTCTATGCCGTCCCATCGCTCAAAGTCTCTGTTCTGTGGTTGTGTGAAGGCCAGAGGCAGTGTCATCTCTGGTGTGCACGGGGCAGGCGCTGCCAGTGGCCCTGGGTGACTCCCCCACCGTCTCCCCTCAGAACGTCCGGCGGCTGCTGCAGAACCCCAAAGTGACGGAGCTCGACGCCGTCCGGCTGGTGATGCTGTACGCGCTTCACTACGAGCGGCACAGCAGCAACAGCCTGCAGGGCCTCATGGCGGACCTGAAGTCCCGAGGGGTGTCGGAAAGGCACCGCAAGGTGGGTGCAGGGCCCCCCGGGGGGCGGCCCCTTGCAGAGAGCAGGCGCTCGTCACGCAGACTCCTCTGCGGCCCCACAGGGAGAGGCCAAGTGTGCCTGCTGTGTTCTGGTCCCTGTGCCCTGCGTGGGGTTTCCCAAAAGGGGCAGCTGGCTGGATCCAGATCCCGCTGCGGGCCCCGCTGACATTCCCCGTGTCGGGGAGCGTCATTCTGCCAGCTCTAGCCAGCCTCCTCTCAAGGGCCACCCAAGACGGAGCCCCCCTAAGCCTCCGTTGGGTTTGAGGGGAAGTCCTCCCCGGCCACGAGGAGGGCTGCGGGCAAGCTCCGAAGGGACGGGGAATCCCGAGGAGCAACAGTCCCAGCGCTGTGTCCCCGTGTGCCTGGGGCCCAGTGCCCCCCTTCTGTGGGGAAAAGAAAACTTTGCCTTCGGAGAAAAGCCGATGGGAGGGCATTCCTCTGTTTATGTTCAAAAGAACGTTGCTGCTGCGAATTCAAGCACTCCGGTCTGCCTGCTTCAGGGGCATGTGTGTCGATAACTGACCGCTTCCTGTATGCAAAGCTCTTGAGCCTGGTGGAAAGGCCCCGGGGGGGAGGAGCTGCTGCGGGACATCTGTGCAGCCAGGTGCTGGCCTGACCCCTGCCAGTCATGGCTCCATGGACCGCATGGTCCTGCACAGGTGCGGGAACGTCTCCCAGGCAAGTGCAGCGAGGACTGTGAGTCCCCGGACTGAGCCACTGGGCTCTGCTCTGGCTTGTCCAAACAGCTGGTTCCTGCTGTCGTGGAGTACGGAGGAAAACGGGTTCGCGGGAGCGACCTCTTCAGTTCCAAGGATGCTGTGGCCATCACCAAGCAGTTCCTCAAAGGCCTGAAGGTAACCGCGGGGGGTCCCCTTGCTGGCATGGACGGCTGCCATGATGGGCTGCCCTGCCCCGGGTTCTGATCGGCTTGGCTTTTTTGGAATCCAGCCGGCAGTTCTGCTGTGAACCTGTGTTCTATGTCACGTGGGTTCCGTGGTCTTGCAGAACTTTTCCCCCTTTTATGGGGAACTTGTGTGAATTTGATTGATTTTAATCCACGTTAATGATGCAAGTCAGTGCATCTGTGTAAGAGCAGGCAAGGGCTACTGATGCTTGTATAAATGCACAGATGTGCGTTGGTTACTGCCGATTCTGCCTAATTCTAGAATTATTATTAATTCTAGCTTAATTATGCTGTTACTGCATAATTCTCGTTTTAAAAAAAGGCTCCTTCCATGAGCAGGCCACAGAACAAGATGCCGGCAGCCTGGAGCGGGTTTGGCACGATCCGGGCAGCCCCTAAATCCCCGTGGGACTGAGGGATGCAATTCCATGGGGGGTTCCACGGCCGCAGCCCCGCGGTAGCGACTGGGTTCTCTCGCGCTTCTTACGCAGGGGGTCGAGAACGTCTACACGCAGCACCAGCCTTTGCTGCACGAGACCCTGGACCTGCTCGTCAAGGGCAAGCTGAAGGACAGCCAGTATCCCTACCTGGGGCCCAGCATCCTCCGGGACAGGTAGTGGCGACGCGGCGGGGCTCGGTCACTGGCGGGGAAGGGGGGCCTGTGCTGTGCGCAGCAGCGGGGGCCCCTCTGGCCTTTGGGCTGCCCAGATGGTGCGCCTTCCGGTGAGCGGATCTGGCTGGGTGTGGGGAGTTCCAGGGGTGCAGGGAGGAGACAGCAGGAGCAGTGAGCCTGTGGGCGGGGAGCGCTTCATGGTGCCCCCCCCAGCATGGCTGTTTGGCCTCAGTGCTGGGGCTGGAGTTGGCCACCTGCGGGCTCATTCCCAGGGGACCGTGTCCCCTTCCCAGCTGCTGCCCCTTCTGCGGCTTCATGGCATCTGCTAGCCCCCCAGCTAAAGCTTTGCAGTGCCTCTGTGGGTCAGTCACCCGCAGCCGGAGTTTTCCGGCATAACGTGCTCGCAGCTCTGGTATTCTGCACTCAGCCCTTTGGCCTTCCCTGCGCCAAGACCGTGCCCCATCCCAGGCGCTCCAGAATGGGCCTGGCGCCGCTCCAGGGACTTGCGGTCCTGCCCTTCCTCTGCCCTGCCCGTGCCCCATGTGGCCGGCGAGCAACCGTTCTGCGTAGGAGCTGGGATGATCTGCCTTCATTCAGAGCGGAGTCTGGAGGGAAAGCTGCCCGCTGCGTCTCAGACAGTGAGTCATCGCAGCCCTTGGCTGGCTTGCCAGACAGCGCTGCAGCACGAGGCCTCGTGGTTCGGCTGTGCAGCCTTCGGGGTGCTTTTCCCATCCACCCCAAGCGGCTTCCCCAACATAGCAGAATCGTGTGCGGCAGGGTCAGGAAGCGGTGAGGCTGTCATGTGGTGGCTTGTGTGCCATCTAAGTGTTAGGTTCCCATTGAGCTCTACCCTCTATCGGATCCAGGCGTGCCTGTTGTGTTTGTGGTGCTATGCTGTGCTGCCCGCCAGAAAACCTCCGATTAGTTTACTTCATTTCTGCACCGCCCCGTCGCCAGAGCTGCCTGGACTGTCTGCAGCAGTCCACCTGCAGTCGGTCGGGCGGCCTCCTCCGCTCGTGGCAGCCTCAGAACACCCCCCCCCCCGCCTTGCTGAATTGCGGGACTTTAAGATCGAAGAGCTGATCCCCCGGCTGGGCTGAATCTCCCGCGCGTGCGTGCGTTCGTTCCCTGCAGTGCTTTTGGAGCGTTCCGGCAGTGCGCTTTCCGCAGGCAGAGGGTGCCCTTCACGGCGGTGGCTGCTTACCCGGGTGCAGTCACGGAGCATCGATCGAGTTCTGGAAGTTATGTAAAAGCGCTGAGATGTGCTCTTCTCGCTGGCAGGCATCCGGAGTGAAAGGGCGGGCTTCACCAACCCTTCTTCCTTCTGGCGCAGCATGCTACAACTCCCATCATCCTCAGCCGGCATGGCGAATGACTGTGCTGGCTGGGCATAATGGGAGTCGGAGTGCAGCACGTTGGCAAGAAGCCAGGTTGGGAAAAGTGGTGCGATGGTTGTGATGGCGTTGAAACCAGCAGGACCTCGTGGCTGGGAAGTTTCTCGTCCAAGGAGGGTGTCAGGGAAGGGGTCACGGTGGGCAAGCGGGAAAGCGAGGCCCTTTCCTTTCCCCAGCGGCTCAGGAACAGCTGAGCTCTGCTCCTTTTCTCTTCTGCTGTACAGAAGAGCGATGCATCTGATAAAACCTTTCAAGAAAGAGCTCGCTGTCACCAGGGCCATCCTGATCGTGTGGGGTCACCGCAGCCCCGGGGCTCGAGCTCTGAGCCTGCAGAAAGGGAGGTCTGTGCTCACAAGAGGCAGAATCGCTTGTCGAGGCTTCAGGCCTGCGGGGGAAGGTCCCGGCCGTCCGGATGAGGGCAGGGCTGTCCCCAGAGCCGTGCACAGCACACAGCCTCAGACCAGGAGCTTTTCCTTCCCCTCCAGATCAAATCCTTGCCCGCACGCCCAATCTGACTCTCCCAAGTGGGAGAAGTCCCTTTTCTGCTCTGAGCTGGCTGCCTTGAAGGCCACCTTCTTCCTCCCGAGTCAGAAAGCAAACTCTGGCAACACAAAGCCTTCCCTTCCCAGCACACGTGGCCGTTGCTGCATTATTCAGGCTGCAGCTCAGGGGAGAAGCAAGCCAGGGTGGGGGGCCTGCATCGAATTGACAGCTGTGGGTGTGCACTTAACTTTCTGCAGTTGCTCCTCTCTGCTTCTCTGCAACTACAACTCCCATCACACGCATCATGTTGGGGATGCCTTTTCGGAAGGATTCTAAGTTTCTTCTCTAATGTGAGGAGCTGGGAATGTAATAGCTGCTCGGGAGGTTTTGAGGGAGGAACCGTTGCCGTTTCCCTCCCCTTTCGGACCAGGAGGCGCTTCTTCTCTCTGGCCTTCTGCTGCATAATTAGGGGAGTCTCTGAGCAGGAAACTGGCTGCGTTATTCTGCCCCTGCACAAATGGAAGGCCCTGCTGAGAATACCGTATGCAGTTCTGATTGGTGCATGCAAAAAGACACGGTAGGTGTGGAAAAGGGCCGGAAAGCGCAGCAGAAACGATCCAGGGCTTGGGTCACTCCCTGGTGAGGAACGGTTGCAAGAACTGGGGTTGCCAGACTTTGGGAAAAGGCAAATGGGGGGGGGCGCCCCACATTGAACCTCGTGTGCAGAAAGTGGCAAGGGGGACATTTTGATCTCTCTCCCAGAATGGGAGCATCCAGAGGGGCCGTGCTGTGAAGCTGGTGGGTGGGGGATTCTAGACAAATCCGGGGAGACTGCGCTCCCCTCGCGCATTATTTAAGAGGGAAGCCCATTCCACGAGATGGAGCCATGGCCCCGGGGCAGGCAAGCCTTAAGAGGGCCCTGGGCCATTTCGTGCAGGAAAGGCCATGCATGCTGCTAGTCCCCATGACTGCTGCCTCCAGGATATGGGCAAAATGCTTGTGCACGCTGGTTGCTGTGTGGCCTGGGCAGGAGGGTGCCACCGCACCCCATGTCCTGCTTGCAGCTCTCCTGATGCTCTTACGTTTCAGAAGGGCGTGTGTGGGTGGCTGGACGGATGGGTCGATCCAAACCCTTTTGCAGTTCCCCCATAACAAAGTCCCCATCATAAGCCAGTTTCCGCAACGTGTATACATTATGCAAGCTGGAGAGCAATTTCAGTCTCCCTCTCTTTGCCTGTTTAGCGAAATGTTTTTGTTGTTTACAAGGCAGGGGCAGCACAGAGTGAGGAAGAGCGCTTGAAAAGCCCAGCCTTTCTAAGAGCTGAGAAGTTGGGGGTTTCTCAGTTCCTACAGCCTAAACTGCAGGGTAAAGCTTGTCCAGACATTGCTAACCCGGAGCAGAGTCTGGAGCGACGAAAAGTGAGGCGACTTCGGTTCTGCTCTGTAAGCATTTGCATGGCATTTAGCCACAACTGCCTCTGCGTGCTTCCTCCACTTCGGGGCGTGTGCGTTTGCGGCAAGATCTTTGTTTTGGTGGGGGGTGCCATAGCACTGGGCGCGAGTGCCTCGGGGGGCGTTCATGCGCAGTCTCTGGATCCCTCCACGAGCGGCTCGCCTGCGTCTTCTTTTTGAAGCCCGCTTTTGCCGGCGTCTTTGTCATCGGAGTCAGCTCTGGGGATCCAAGCAGCTGACAGGCGTTTCCTCCCCCAGCTTCCAGAGCAGCGCTAGACACCCACTCTTCCCCGTCTTCGGTCCAGGAGCAGCCGCGGCTCCGGAGTCGGGGGGCGGGGGGCTTTGCCGTGCCCGATGAGTCACTCCTGCACCTGCTGCCCGTCAAGGGAGGGCGTCCCCAGTCCCGGGAGGGGCAGGAAGGACCGCCGGGGTGGGGCAGAGGCCTGCCGGGCACGTTCTGCCTCTTGTGTGCCAGCCGTTTGGCCGCTCTCGCCCCCACCCCGCCGCCACTCCCTGAGTGTGCCCCTCCGAGGAGCGAGGCTGCCGCTCCAGCAGGGAGCCCCTTCCTGCTCCCCCCCAGCCCGGCCACAGACAATCCGTGTGACTCACAGTGTGCAAATCGTGTTGCGCTGGCAAACTGCTCAGGCCCCGTGTGACTTTGTGTGGTTGCTAAATATATCCTGCTGAATCCTTAAAAAGTTGCGTGATGAGTCGATTTCACATGTTGCTCCTGACTGGGCTTTGGATGGGAGCACGAAGCCACAGGAGGCGAGGAGGAGGAGGAGGAGGAGGCGCAGTCACACGGTGGGGGCGCAGTGCCGTCCCTGTGTCTTCCCTGGGCTGGCTTCGGGGCGAAGTGCCCCCGCACACACATGGAGGGAGCCCCCGTGCACTCGGCCTGGCCTCCCGCTGCTGCCGCCCACTCTGCGCAGTGGCCTGCAGGGCTCAGTCCTGCCCCACTTCCTATTCTGGGGGGGCATTTGTGTGGCCAGCAAAGCCATGGTCTCTTCCTCGCAGCACCGGGGCGGCTGGAAGCCGTTCCCAGCAATGGCACAGCCTAGCAACAGGCGATGGCACGTGCGCATGCGGGAGGAGCAGATGCGGCATGAAGGTGGAGGGCGGGCGGCAGGACGCTCCTCTCCTCTCCTCTCCTCTCCTCTCCTCTCCTCTCCTCTCCTCTCCTCTCCTCTCCTCTCCTCTCCTCAAGCCGATTCCTTGCTGTCCGGTGGAGCGGGCCCTGAGCCGAGCCAGTCGGGCGCCCGGGCGAGCAGGGCTGCGGCAAGGGCTGCCGCGCTGAGGGTCTCGGAGCTTTCCCGCCACAGGCTGCTGGGAGAGGCCCATGCTTTGTTGTTGGCTTGTGCGGGAGCAGCGGCACGGTCCTCTGCCCGGCCAGCACCGTGCAGAGTGGGAGCGAGTGGCCCGGACGGGGCAGGCCCTGTGCAGGCCAGCCGGCTCCGCTGGTCCCCCAGTGACTGGACTGGTCCAGAGTGGTCTTGCCACCCCCAAGAGGCAAGTGCACGAGGAGAGGCATCCCGTGAGCCTCAGGGCCCCTTGGACATTCTGGACTTGAGCTGCCAGCCTTCTTGGCCGTGCCAAGAAGCCACGGGGACTCCCAAGCGTCGGCTGGGCCTTGTCCGTTCGCCTCGCCGGGCCTCAATCGGCAAGCGCAGATGCACGGTCCCTGTGGACGCAGAGGCTTGCGCGGTGATATGCCAAGCTGACTCGCTCTGCCTGCACCGAGGCGTTCTTGCGTGGTCGTCGAAGGGCGAGGCTCCCAGAGGGACACGCGCCCATCTGTCTGCCGGCTTACAGGCGTCGGGGAGGGCACACGAGGAGAACGGGATCGGGAGGGCGGAGTGGAGTGTGGAATGCCCTTTCCGGACACTCCTCCGGGAGCAGCTGAGGCGAGGCCCGGTTCGCGCAGCTGCTGGCCCCCGTGGGTCCCCCTCGGCCCCCCAACCGCCTCCCTGTTTCTCGCAGGCCACAGGACATCATCGTGTTCATAATCGGAGGGGCGACCTATGAGGAGGCGCTGACGGTTTACAACCTGAACCGGACCACCCCCGGCGTCCGGATCGTGCTGGGTGGGACCATTATCCACAACACGAGGAGGTAAGCTGGGTGTTGTGGCCCACCCCGGGCGGTCTTGGCCCTCCGCGGCCCGCCCGGCCCACCACTGGCGCAGACCCACGAGGCCGAGGGAGGCCCGGCCGGGGACTCTGCCCGGGGGCCTGCAGCAGAGCGCCGATTCCCGCCTGCGAGCCACCGGCCTTACCCCCACAGGGACCCCGAGGCCGGGGCAGGGTCAGCGGTTGGATCACAGAGGGCCGGCTCCGAGACGCTCTTTGCACTGGCAGGCGCCGCTCCAGCAGCCCTTCCAGCCTGGGCAGTCGGGTGGCAGCATCACGGAGGGGCTGCCCTGTGTCCCGGGGTGGCGTGTGCGTGGTCTGCGCCCTGCCCAGAGGAGCTGCTGTTTGCGGGGCTGCCGAGCGCATTGGCAGCTGAGGCGAGAGCTGAGCCACCCCTCGCCTCGCTCGCTCTCAGAGGTGAAGCCACACCTGGGCCGCGTGTGAGGATCATGTCGCGGGGGAGCCCCCTTGCCGGAGTGCCGGGCCCCAAAATCTCCCAACTGCTTTGGATGCACGGAGGCGCGATTCCCGCCTTCTAAAAATAAGCACTTGGCGGCAGTTCATCTCAGGGCACCTCTGGAGAAAGCACGCAGGAGAGCTCTCCAGAGGCGTGCGTGGAAGCAAACCGCTTCCGTGCCCGCTTGCTGCGTTTCTGCCAGCGAGGGTCCCGGAGCTCCCTCCTCCCACCCTGCGACGGGAGCACAGCCCCCCGGCTGTTGGAATGGCTGATTGCCCCCAGCCTCCTGTTCGTGTTTCCTGAAGGCAGCCAGCGGGAGGGGTCTCTGGTTACCGCTTCACTGCCTGATGAGCTCCCAGCCAAGGTGCGCTGGGGAGGATGGGTGGGCGAGCGCTTTGTGGTGGGATGTGGGGGGGACAAGGAGAGTTTTCCCCTTGGGACCGGCGGGCACCGAGCGACCTCCAAGGTGCCAGGTGGGCTTGTCCCGGCCCTGCCTGGGCACGCCAGGGCCGGGACATGGCCCTTCAGCTCGCAGAGCCCCCGGCTGCACCCCTTCCCTCTCCTTGTGCTCCGGAGAGATGAGCCGGGTCGGCCTCTGGCTCCTGGTGTGCCGCACGGGGGTGACCCGGGGCCCGTTTTCTGCCCGGAAAGCCGGATGGGCAAACAGTGGCGCTGCCCCTTCCTTGGATGCCGGGCTGGAGGGACGCCCTGGAAGTGGGTTACGGAGCCAAGTCTGTATTAACCCACATCTTCACCAAATCCCGGTGAAATTAGCTCAGGTTCCAGTGCAGCTTTCTCTCTCTGCCATGTGCTCCGCTGTCTGCCGAGCTGCCTCTCCATGCAGCCCCAGAGCTCATTCAGCCCCGACGCATCCGTGGGGATCCTGCGTCGATGCAGCCGGGTCCGCTGCAGTGGCCGAGGCTGCCCAGTCCAGGAGTGGGTTTGGGTCCTGCCCCGGCAGCTGCTGCTCCCTCGGGAGGACCGGCCGGGATACGGCGGGGAGCCAGGGCGGCACGTCACGACAAGAGGGCTCTGGCCATATCTGAGGGGGCTCGGGCCATATCTGGACCCTGATGCAGGCGTGGAGGCGACTCCGGCGAGCGCTGCTGCAGCTGGGATAGGAACGAGGCAGCTCTGCCGTACGCGGGGCCCTGTGGGTCGGGTGCGGACTTGGCCGTGCTTGGAAGGGGCCCTCAGCGCCGTGGGGCCTGCTGTAGTTGTCAGGGCGGCTGCAAAGCTGCCGGGGCACTGGGCGGTGCAGGCCGGAGTGGCTCGTGGCCCTTGCCTGGGGGTCCAGGAGGGAGCAACCGGTCTGGGGCACCCCTCGGCTTCCGCCGCCTCTTCGGTCTCGCGGCGGGCGCGTCTCTCGCTTTATTATTATTATTATTATTATTATTATTATTATTATTATTATTATTATTATTAAACATTTCTATGCCGCCCCTTGCCGAAACCTCGGGGCGGCTTACAACATGATAAAATACATTGAATACAATACATTGAATAAAATACATTGCTTTAGCCCTGCAGCCCTCCTCCCCCCGTGGGAGGGTGGATTTTAAAGAGGCTGGCAGCACCCCCCCCCCCCCCACCGTCTTCCCCGGGTGGGGGGGGGGGGGGAAGAGCACGTGCTGCCCCTGCTACTGGCCCGCGCGGCTGGCCTTCAGCCCCACTTGGGTGAATCGGTGCTGCTTGCGAGCAAGAGGCGCCGCCACCCTCTTTGCGCTTCCTCTCCAAGGGAGGGCGGTTGACGGTCTCAGCTCTTGGCTCTGGGATTTGTCACCTGCTTGGCACCCATATTTGCAAGCTGCTGCGGGGTGCACGAGGCCCGTTCTTCTAAAACGTTTCCTGTGCAAGATGCCCACTCACTGGCCGCCGTTCCCCAGCCCCTCTTTGCGGCAGCTTCCCATGCTGGGGGTGAAAGCAAACAGATCGGCCTTGGCTTCCCTCCTCCCCTTCCCCCCTCTTGCCCCAGTGGGGCTTCCCCTGCTTGCTCAAGCTGCCGCGGGGGGGGGGGGGGACGCAGCAGTGCCCTTTGCTGGGGCAGCGACCTGACACGGGGTCCCGTTTCCAGCTGTTGAATTTCTGGAATGGCCCGTGTGTCTGGGGGCAGGTAGGGAAGGCAGAAGCGGCAGGGAGGCCTGCAGCTCACGGCACTTTGAAGTCGGCGCTTTGAGTGCCCCTTTGAAGTCGGAGTGTGCAGAGGGCTGGCCCCATGGGGTGCAGGGGTCCGGGGACCAACATGGCTGGAGCGGCTGGGGCGTCTTCCTGGCTGCTCGGAGTGCTGGAGGGAGGTCGGCCTCCGTGCGAGGACCGGCCCAAGCGCTGTGCCACCCGGGCTCGAACTTGCGCTCCCCCCACCTCTGGGAGCTTCCGAAACAGGCGGGCATCCGGCCGCTCCCCAGCATCCACGAGCAGAACCAGGGCCTGCTGGTCCCTGGTCCGGTGGGGGCCGGTTGCTGAAAGCTCGGCCCCCTCCCCGCTCAATCCCCTGCTTAATGAAGTTATTTTTCTCATGAGTCCAGCCCCCCACCGAGGATTAAGTTCATCTTGCTACATCTGGCAGTGGTGGAACCAGCTGCTAAACAGAAATAATAAACCCACTTCTAGAGAAACCCCATCTGGTTCTTTCTGTAGGATAATGTGTGGTGGTAACAAACCCGATACGATGGAGTATTAATGGAGGATTGGCTCTCCTGGGGAGCTGCTTGTTGTTTTCAAGGGGAGGATAGCATGAGAGGTATTCTTTTTCCTCCTTCCTCAGCCATGTTTAATGTTTCTGATGCTTTATTCCGCACCATGAGGACTGGTGTCTTTGCTGTTTTCAGTGGGGGAGCCATAGCCTGACAGGGAGCTCCTGCTTTGTGGGAGGTGGGTTCAATCCCTGCAGCATCTCCAGGGACTTAACCAGCTACCCTGGCGATCCTGTTTCCACTGGTGACCCACAGGGCTGATGGCCCAATATTTCGTCCCTCCCCGGGCAGTCCCAGAAAACATGCCGCTCCGTGTGGCGAGGTTTATTTAAATCCATGTGGGACGTGCTCAGGATCCTGCCGGCCGCCGCGCCAATACAGCAGAGCCCGGGGCCTCCCTCCGCTGTGCCGTGCCGTGCCCGTCTGCTTTCGGGAAAGGGCGAGGCGGTTGGAGCAGACGCTCCAGACGCGAGTTGCAAGGATCGTCTCGTCCCACGGCAGGAGCAGCGCTGTCCGGTGGGAGGCCCCGGTGCCGACAAGGGCAGCGTGGGCGAGGTGGCCGGGCCACGGGGGCCCCGGAACGGACAGCAGCCACGCCTGCTGGGGACGGTGGTGTGGCGCCTGCGTGAACTGGTGTGCTGCTTGGAGCTCCCGGGAGAGCCTTGGCTGGGAGCACCATGGAAAGGAGAAGACTAAACCTGGTCCTGTCCGTCCAGGCACCCCTTCCTGGTGCTGGACTGCCCCTTCCCCTGCCAGAGTCGGTGGTGGGTCAAACGCTGTGGCTGCCCCCTAGGGGGGAGGCAGCCCCCCCCACCACAAGTGTCTCTCTTCCTCAGCTTCCTCGAAGAGGTTTCTGCTGCCGGGTTCCGCGGACGGAGCGTGGAGAGCTCCCAGGGCGCAGCGAGGCCGGTGGCCCGGCGGCTGAACTGAGCGCGTGTCCCCGGCACGTCCCCCTGGCCACTTGGGCGACGTGGGCCCCCCCCCCCAAGGCACGTCGTCGCCAACACGTGGAAGCTCGGAGCCGCGTGGAGGACCAAGGGGCAGCTTCTGTGTCACCGAACGAGGAGTGAGCAGAGGGGTCTCTGAAGCCATATTTACCAGCCCCGACTGAGACTTTGAAAAGAAGGACACCCGCCTCATCCTTTTCCTTCAGCCCACGTGACGCCCGGCCGTTCTCTTCCTCGGGGTTGTCCCACCGGCTCCGTCTCCAGGTCTGCTTCTGGCCTGCCGCCACCCCGTCCAGTCGGTCCCCTTCCTTGGCAGGAAAGCCACGTGCATTCCAGTATCCCAATAAAAGAGCCGCGTGAGCTCGTGGCAGGCAGGCAGCGTCTTTGTCGTTACTGGAGGCGCGGAACTAGCGTGACGAGTGGCTGGTGCTGAGCGCGCTGGATCCCGGGGTGGGCGGCCCACGGGCGACACGAGCCCCTCCGGCAGCTCCCTCGCCCTGAAGGGTCCCCAGCGCGACGCCCCACTGCCGGGCCGCGTGGCCTCCCAGCACCGGGCAGGGATCCCGGGGCAGCAGAGCAGCCGTCGCTGGTTTCCGAGGGCCGTTTTGGTTGGAGCCCCTGGGGGCGGGAGAGCAACCTGCGAAGAGGCCCAGGCGGGGGGGGGGGGGTGCCCGGAGCCCTCGAATTGCCCACCCCGTGCCCGAGCCTTGAGTCTTCCCAGGAGACGCCTGAAACAGAGTGCCCTCCCCACCCCCTGTGTGTGTGGGTGTATGTGGGTGTTTTCTGCACCTTGGCTGTGCTCTCGCCACCGCAGGTGCCGCGAGGGCGCCTCATGCCCACAACAGGCACGGGCAGAGTTCTCGGGGCCATCGGTGCCTGCCCGGTTGCTTCTGCTTGCATTAGCTTGCTCCTCATGCACCCTAACTTTGCCCGGCCATTCCTCTTGGGTCTGTGAGCCGGGTCCTACATTTTAATAGCTTTTATTCTATGTGCATTATTTCGTTTCGTTTTTGTCCTGCCCGATAGCCAAGGCGCTGGGCAGTGAGCGGCAGTGAGCAAACGCAGCTTTACTTCGTATTACACTAGGGCCCTTGGAGGCAGAGCCAGAGTTCCCCGCAGCGCCTGGAGAGAGCGGCGCGTGGACCATCCCAGCTCGGGCAGAGCAAGTCCAGAAGCTGGCCCCCTCCACGCCCGCCTCAGCTGAGCCCCTGGCTCCACGGCCCCCCCCCTGCTTTCGTCTGGGGAGGCCGCCCCTGCTGGCAGCGTTCCCTCGCTCTGACCGCGGGCGTTCAGGTGTCCTGGGTGGCCAGGCTGCCGTGCTGCACCTCACCGGGATGCCCGCCTCAGCGTGGCCGGGTGTCCTGTGCTGCCACGGATGGCCCTGTTGGACGAGCTGGCAGGCGCTGGCCTGTTGCTGGAATCTGGCCTCCGTTGAGGGGGCAGTCCAGTTCCACGCGAAAGACCTGCGAGGGGACAGCGCAGCTCAGGGCCAGGAGGCTCCCTGGCCGCAGGTGGCGCCTGGGCCGCAGAGGGACCGGCAGGGACACGGCTCCCCTGGCCTGACGTCTCCGCCGGCAGGATCGATTCCATCTCCAGTTCACCGCTAGTTGCCATTTCTCTTTTTGTGCTCATGCATTTCGTGCGCGTGTGTAGATGCGGTGCGGATCGGTTCACGCAACTCGCGCTCTCTCGCTCTGGCAATGCGCACGCCAAGGGCAGGGCTGTGCCAAGCAAGCTCGCTCAACGCCCCGTGCCACCCCACTGCCACCCGCCCCCGGAGGCGCCCCCTTGGGCAATTCGCGCAGGCCCCCCCATGGGCACTTTCCTCCGGGGAGGGTGGATGGCCCGTTTCTGCCACCCTCAGGCCTGGCATAGGAAGGCGATCCAGACCCGACTGCCGGCGGGGGCCCGGCGGGTGGAGGCTGCCCGGCACGGCCCCCGGCTCGCTTCTTGCAGCCCTGCTCCCCTCGGCTCCGGTGCCCCCTCCCCGTTGTGGGGATTACGCAAAGGGGGGATTGCAAAGTCCTCTGCGCATAATGAAATTGCATGGGGATTATTCTGGCACTCCCCCCCCCCCACCCCGGACAGTTGTGCCATGTGGCTTGGCTCCTGTGGGGGCGTCTCTGCATCTCCAGGGCAGGAAGAAGAAGGAACGGCATGTGGGAGGGCCCTGCTGAAAGGCGAAAGCTGTGGGCGGGTGGGCGGTCTGTCACAGGGCAGGCCGGAAAATTCTTTGGCAAACTGCACGATGAAGGCAGGCAGTGGCGAAAATGGTCCCGGCCGGTTTTGACATCGCTTCCCTGGCTGTGGGCCCTGCGGAGGCCTTGCGGAAGAAGCCCTTTGCTGGTCGGCCGGTCAGTGGTTGGGAATGGAGGGCTTCTTCTTAAAGGGCATTTCATGAAGGCCAGAAGGCCAGAAGCTTACAGGAAGGCACTGAATTGAATCTGCCAGAGGAAGTCTGTTATTCTTTTCCTAGCTGCAGCTTGGACATTCGGACAGAGTTAGGTTTCAGACTGATGAGTGGAGAAGTATACCTAAGCAGTAATCAGAATTTCGCATTGGGGAATTAGCGGGTCAGATCAAATTAACCAGCTTGCAATCCCTTCCAGTAATTTAATTTTTTCCTCCATGTGCAAGAAATAGATTTGTTTACTGGAACCCAAAAGATGAAGTGAACAGACACGGAGGAAGCAGACTAGCAGAAGGGGGGTTAAGGGAAAACCTCCTTCTTTGACTACAGTTCCTGTGCTTGACGCCTCTCTCAGCTTTTGTTGGTTGCAGGAGGCTGAAGTTCTGTTTTCTCCTGTGGTGAGACAGACACAGTGGAAGGAAATGGAGGAAAGAGCAGAACTGGGAGCCCCCCTGGACTGCGGTGTGGTGCTGGATGCCCCCATGTCCACTGTGAGCGCCATTTTCCTTGGCAGAAGGGGCAGAGCATGGATCAGATTAGCGAGCGAGTGCCCTTCCTGTTCACCCCCAGCCTATGGCTGTTGGCCTAAGGTAGCGTTGACTGGATCTCCAACCACCAGCCGCTCCAAACATCTGGAGGGCACCGGATCGGTGCAGGCTGCCCAGAAAGTGTGCGGTGTGAAAGGAGGCTATCTTTCAACCCCCCAAAGCCCCCGAGAAGACCCTTCCGGAACATCTTGTGTTAGATCTCTCTGCTTTGAAAAGGCTGACATTCCACCTCGGCCAAAACTTTCCAGACGAGCGTGGCAAAAGGTTGGGGGAGGCACGGGGAGCAGAATCCGAGTGCCCCCATTAAAGCCCTCTTCATTTTGGAAGCGGTGTCGCGTCAGTGGTCCCCGCCTTCGGCCCTCGCTCGGGGTGCATGTGCGCGAACGCCCCGTGAGAGAAAGCCGGAGCGAGAAGGCAGACGTGGCCGGCAAGGAGAGCAGCTTCCCCTGCGCACCAGCCGCTCTTCTCTGGCTCGGCTGTGTGGGAGCTATTTTGGTTGCCGACGGGCACCTGCTAGAGCAGCATAGCAGGCGAGCGGAACTGCAACACGGTGTGAATGGGATGTTCCAGGATGGAGGACGGGGCGACGGGGGGGGGGCATTGTTTCTTCAGTGGGAGAACTTCTCTCTTCTTTCACTCCCCCTCTTCCCTCCCCCGAGATATCTTTCTTCATCTGGTCCCTTCCTAGCCTTCCTGATTTAGCAAGGAGCCACCTCGGTGTCCTTTGTGTAACAGAATGGGAGCAGCAGTTGTTACTTTGAACGCAGGGTCTCTGCCTGTTGTTCCGACCCGCTCAGAGAGGCCGGGAATGGCCATTCCAAGGCTGCCAGTCCAGCCTGCCCCCACGCAGCAGCGAGCCTTTTGCTGTTGCCAAAAGTCCCGGCCATGAGGGCTTGATCTATTCCACGGAAGCCTGGAAGGAATGCTCAGAATCTCCATTTTCTCAGAGGGAAAACCGGGCAGGCTTCTAGTCCTCGAGGTCTGCAAAGCCTGCGGATGATAACGATAAATGCCTGCTGACATTCAAAGCCAGGTGGTAAACCCCCGAAATCGGCCACACGCCCCCTGTGCTGGCTGCAAGAGGCTTCTCCTCCCAAGCGATGTGTGACTTACGGGAGGCAAACTGCATCCGGCTGGCAGGGGCCTGCCAGGTCCACCAGAATTGGGCCCCGTTGCCCCTGCTGCTGGAGCACCCAAGCCCAGCCGCCCACAGAGCCTCCCGGGGGCATTTCTGGTGTGCTCATTGCAAAAGGGTCCAAGACACCTTCTTGGCTGCAACCTCCAGGGACGTGGGAACTTTGCGCTTGTTTCCCCCCTTGCGAGGCTTCCCTTGGCTTGAGCTGGGCTGGAAGCCCGTGCTTCGGGGTGGGGTGCCGCCTCAAGACCAACCCCAGGGCTACCCGGTGGCCCTGCCTCATCCCCTTCCCCAAACCACCAGTGGCTTTTGTGCAGATTCTTCTCTACTCTGAAGGGTGGCGATGCCCCTAGTGAGCCTCAGAGGCCTGGGACGGAGCTTTTCCTGCAGCACTGGAGGCTTTGGGGCCTCGGGTCCTGCCCGCCCTGGGACTGCGGCTTCCAGGAGCTTCTCCAAAGCAGGATCTGGCCCCAGAAGAGATTCGGCAACCTTGACCAAAGGGGCGAGCTTCCAGCCCACTGTGGAAGCCATTTCCCCCCCTTTCTTGTGCATCCTGAATATTTCAAATATTTCCTTGCTTCCCCCTTTCTTGACTCTCTCCCCCACCCCATGTCTTTCATCTTCCACCATCGGGGATGGTACGAAACTTGTCCGCTCCTGTTTTTCTTCTTGACGGTTCTGTGCGTGGGTCACCACTGGTGCAGGAACTATTTGGTGCCGAGTTCTTGCCAGTAGTTTCCTAGGCTCTCGGGAACATCTGAAGCCTCCCAGCCGGGGGGGCCTTGTCGGACGCTCACTCTGATCTGGGCTGGATGCACTCAGAAGGGTTATGCTAAAGGCTCAAGAAACAGCTTGAAGAAGGCCCTTGGCCTTTTCTTTTGAAAAGTGTTTGTGTCCACTAAATGCGATGAGCCATATTGGCCAGAGCAGGCATGCTAAACTCCACACGCATGCAATAAATGCAAGTCGAAAGTCTCAGAAAAGGGAAGAAACCCACAACTATGCAAGTTTTTCAGGTGGGGCTTTACCACTGCGTTGCTCAGAAGCAGGGAGAAGTCAGTCGAATGACTCCGCAGGAACCAGTCCTTTGGCATCCCCTGCTCTGGAGGATGGGCTCCCACCCGAACTACACAGGAAAGGGCTTGGGGGGAGCGGTGGCTGCACAGACATGCTTGCCTGAAGGCCACTGGCCACATCAATCGCCGCACCATGCAAGCCAAGCATTTACGTGTCACTTCTCTCACTTTGCACAGCCGGGTTTGCCCTCAAGCGAAGGCCTATTCAGAGGCTCCCCGTTGCTTGAAGGTTGCTCCAGCTAGCCTTTGCGACAGTGAGAGCTAGAAGCTTGCCCAGGTGGCAATGACTGAGAGTCGCAGAAATGCTTGCTGCCTTCTGCAAATGAGAACTGAACATTTCCCCAGAGGGTGCACTCCAGAAATCGAGTAAACTTTTGAGGCTTAAGGCCTTGTTTCGCCTCCGGAGTGAAGGCCCTGGAGGCGAATTCCACCACTTCTCTGGCGCTGAATTTCTGCATCCTGCAGTGCTTTGGCGCTGGCGGGCCTGTGGGAGTCACAGCAAAGGCGCCGGGAGAGGCTGGCGGGCCAAGGCCATTCACAGTTGCTTTCCTCAAGCTGCCGAGAGGGGCAGTGCCTGCACCCCAGAGCGGGGGGGGGGGGGGGCTCTTGTGGCCCAGACCCAAATGTGCCTCCCCAGAGCTTCACGCGGTTTTGCTGTTCCAGTGGGAACTGAATTGAACCACAAATGTGAGGTAACTTTTAATGCTATGAAAGCCCACCCTTCGCCTTGAGCTCCGCAGTTAAAAAGGTTTGGCCGGCAGGAAGGGCCCCCCCGCCCCGCGTCTTCTCCCCTCCCCGCGTCTTCTCCCCTCCCCTCCCCGCCCCTCTCCGCTGCGCGCTCCGCGGCTGTGGGCGGTTGTTGCGCAGGGAGCGCTTTTGTCTCTCTGCCCCCTCCTTCCCTCGCATTCTTTAGCTTGCAGATGGTTGCGAAGGAGCCCCCCCCCCC